CAGAGAAGTGCACAGACTCATCAGATCCCTGCTTTTCCCACATTCCATGATGGCCAAAGCCTGAAAGGGGCAAACCCCAAATTGGATGCATCTTTTGGGATTGCTTGAACAACTGTTTGCCACCTGGCTTATAGCTAAGAAAAGAATTGGCCTTCTGAGAGAAAAGGGATGCTTCCTATTGTGGAACCGAAGGCTGCTCTTAGCTGCAGATCAGCAAGAGGCTGGAAATCTGTTCTGCTTTTATTTGGGGGAAACACTCTTTGAAATCATGCAGCGAAATCATTCCATGCAAGGAACAATGGCTGAGACTGAAAAGAATTACACCGGTGTTGAAGAGAGATCTTCCACACATGCACACGCTTTCTTAAAGGCCCAGGATGGAACCCTGTGGCCACATGACCGAGTTTAGTATTATTTGTGGCCCAGTTCCGATCTTGAAAGCTCACTCCAAGGTCGGAGCTGGGACTTGAAACTCGGAGCACCCCCTGCCCCACAATCTCAGCCAGCGCAGAAAGAAACTTGTGGTCTCTGACTCGTAAGGATGCGAGAGCAGCCTTGGAGATGCAGTTTTCTGGGTGGAGAGGCAAGGAGACAGGAGCTGCCTGCATGCTTAGTATCCTGGTACAAGTAGCACCTCAGCCTCTTAACATTGAGAGGCTGGAAAGAGCCGTGTGTTTTGCAGGGTGGGAGAAGCGTGGAAGCATCCTATGCTTCCGCACTTTTTCTTCCCTCCATAGGATGCCTTCAAATTCAGAGCCATTTTGAAAAGTATTCCTGGTAGCTAGAAGCAGAAAATGGGATTGTGTGGATTTAAGCTTTCTTCTGCAGATGGATCTGTTCTCTGTATAAAATAGGTGTCTAGTCCTCATGGTTGTCAGACAAAAGCTGGACAACAGCTGGGCAATGTTTGACTAAACAAACAGAGGGACCACTCAGGTCTTACTGGACGTGCACATGGTGGGCATGTCGTGAGCAGAGCCGGCTGGTGCTGGAGGTCAGACTAGATGGCCCGGGAGGCCCCTTCTGACTTGCTCTGTTTCTGTTTCTGTGTTTCTGTCTTTGGATAGTCCGGAGGTGAGGACTCACAGCCTACCAAGCCACTTTATTCCTCTGGCAGTGTTGATGTTTCCTGCACTTTTCCTGCAATCACACCAATTCCCTGAATCTGGTCTCCAAATTCCAGGCATGTCATGTCCTCCTCCCTCTTTTATCCTCAGACATGCAATTCCTTCCTGCAAGATTCCAGGGTCTTTGAAATCAACAATGGTAGAAGAAGCATACATTAAGGAAGTAATCAAGTGCTTCTCATTTGCAATTTCTTGTGCAGAGTTTGCTTACTTTGGTGCTTGTGCTGCCTGGGAATTCCACACTGGGGTCCCATCGGAGCAGAGCAAACCTTGGAGCAGAACAGAAAGGGGGATACAACGCAAGGCTTTCTGAAGCTCGGCTCTAAAGCTCATTATCTCTCCTAACGTTCCTCAGCCATTGAGATAAATGGGGTCCTAACTGTATGATTAGGAGCCTTTTCTTTGAAGGGATCTGTAGGCATGAGAGAGAGCTTACAGGCGAGCAGGCCAGGCGCTCTGGTGTGCTCTCATGCACATTCTCCAGAGTTATCTGGCCAGCCTCACAGCAATTTCTAGCACACCCAGCCTGAACTAGTTACTGCCGGCGGGAGCCCCACGACCCTTGATAGAGAAGGAGAGATGTATTTTCTATTTGAAGCCTCTGAGCTGGCAGCAAACCCTTTGCTCTGGCTGTAGTCAAAACATAAAATCACCCGGAATTTGTTAGTTAAGATGAAAAGCCTGCTTGCGCCTGCCTTTGGGCTTTTTTAAGGTTAGGTTTCTAGAAATTTATGACACAAAGGCTTAACTTCTGAGAGAGGGTTTTAAAAATGCCACATCAAGGGCCCGATCCAGCTTAGGCTAACCGTTTCCAAGTCCCATAGGGGAGTCAAAAAACATGGGCAGATCTTTGCCATCCGAGCGGGATGGAATTAGAGCAGGCTGCATTATGCTCTCCCCGTATTCGTTTATTGACCGCGTCCATTTCTCGGAGCAAATCCAAAATAGGCAAGAGGGACAGGCTTTGCCTGGGTCCTGCCCCGTCGTTTTTGTTTAGACACTGCTCTTTCCTCTGGATGTCATCAAAGCAACCCTCTCGAGGTCTAGTTATCCCTTCTCCAGTGGGCTCCCCATCAGAGCTTTTTATTTCCTATTCATTTAAAAATTTTCTAGACCGTCCCTTACCGAAGTCTCAGGACAGTTTAACAGTACACAATGTAAAATAAAACACAGCATCCTAAAATTTCAACTGACAATAAAACCCCAATTAAAACAATCCGATCTTAAAACATTGGGAACATAAAAGGTTTTAGCCTGGTGCCGAATAGAATAAAGGGACGGCGCCAGGTGAACCTCTCTGGGGAGCGAATTCCACAATCAGGGTGCCAATGCAGAGAAGACCCTGCTCTGGGTAGTCACCTTCCTAATCTCCTTCAGGGAGGGCACCTGGAGAAGGGCCTCTGCCCCAGAACTTAAGGGGTGGGCAGGCACTTATGGAAGGAGGCGCTCCTTCAGGTAACCAGGCCCTAAGCCATTTAGGGCTTTATAGGTCATCACCAGCACCTTAAATTGGGCCTGAGCTTCAACTGGTAGCCAGTGTAGGTGGAAAAGGACCAGCGTTCTGTGTTCATACCTGCCAGTCCCTCTTAACAACCTGGCAGCTCTATTCTGAACCAGTTGAAGTATCCGAACTGTCTTCAAGGGCAGCCCCATGTAGAGTGCATTACAGTAGTCCAGTCAGGAGGTTACCAGGACATAGGTCCCCACTGCAGTCCTTTTCGGAGAGAGCTTCAGGGAAGTCTCAGAAGAGAACAGCTTCAAGGTAAAGAGGAATCCAGAGTCCCAAAACCTGACAGCCACTGATGCGCATCCTGTTCTTGTATGTAAACATGCACAGGGTCAGAGTGCAGCTCGGGAACTTCTGTTTTTGAGACTCCAGATTCATGCTTAATGCCAAGCAGCGATGTGGGGCTAATCCACCTTTCTCTGGATTTCTACGTAAGGGCAGCGCTTCCCACCCTTGGCTGCCAGGTATTGTTGGGCTGCAGCTTCCATCAGTCCTCATGATATGGCATGCTAGTGCGGAGGATGGGAGTTGTGGTCCCACGACATCTGGGGACTTGCGTTTGGGAACTGCTTGTGTAGGGCGTGGTTTCTGCTTTGGGTGTTAGAAGGTCTTGCAACCAAAGGCAAGTCCACGTCTCTGGAGAGGTTCTTAACTTCGGGGCAGAGCACACATTTGGTACGTGGACAGCCACAGGTTCCGTGTCCAGTTGAAAGAATCCACTGGCAAGTGGGGAGGGCGATGCTCCCCGTGTCCGTGCAGAGCCTCAGACTGTCAGAACCTGAAGGGGAAGTGAGTGGAAAAGAAATGCGGAGGGGGAGATGCAGGGGCTGGAAAGCAGAGACTCTGGGCGCTAAAACAGGCCGAATCCCAAGCAGTGCGGCCAGGAAAGAGGAAATCCCAGCGAGGAGAGACAGGACTCCAGCAAGAAGGCATGAAACACACTGGGGGATTTGGGCTGGCCACGGAGTGATGGGGAGAACTGGGAAAGTCAGCTTAGGTTTCTTGTAGGGGAAAGAGGGGACAGGCACGGAATAAATAAAGAGGGGAAGAGAAGGAAACAATGACACTCCCCAACCCTCAGAAGCTGGGAGAAAACGGAGGAAATTGCCCTGTGGTCCAAAAGATGGCAAACCGCTTGAGAAAAATGCCCGTAAACCATGTGCCACCACCAAAATGCCTCTTTGAGTGGTTGCCTGCTTCTTTCCAGCAATAGAAGGCATGAATGGGCCGGGAAGGCACCAAGAGGATGCCCTGTTTGCCAATTTTCTTCACAACTAGAAAGCATGGGAGGGTGGCCTTTCAGTCCCAGTCCCTGGAGGAATCCCCGTGTTAACCTCCAGCTGCAGTCAGAGAGAACGGCAGAGTGTCCCTTGCACACCCAGACACCACTTGGTCTGCAGGGGGCTGAGCTGGGGCCATGCAGCCTGTAGAGGGCTGGGGGGCACCTGCCTCCACACCCCGGTTTAGTTCTGCACCCCCGCTAAGAAAGCAAAACCCAACACTGACTCATCTGAGCAGAGGGTCTTTCACGCTGAAAGCTTTAGTCCTGGGAGTTGCTCAGTGGTGTATTCCTTTCACTATAACAACACCCAAATATTGAGGTTCCGAAGGGTCACAATCTATATTTTGGCATTTATGCTTGCATGACGCGTCGGATTCACCATCAAAGAAGTGCGTACAAAGAGCAAACAGCAGGCATCACCAGAGGCCCAGCAGTTTGTAATGAAGAGATATACATGGTTATTTCCCTGAATTAAATTAAATCATTTCCAGGAATTAATCAGCACTTCAGCCATTCTTTAAATTTATAATGTCAGCACAGTCAGCTTTTAAGCAAGTTTTCTAATGAAAATAATAGCAAGAAAATACTGTCTCTGGACCGGAAGCTTGCTGGATTTGGATGGGTTTTGCACAGATCCCCTCCTCGCCTAATTTTGTCTCGAAGCGTTGTTTTCTAGCAACAGCTCCTGAGCTGGGTCGGGATAGAAATCTCCATCAGCCCATTGAAATGAACTGAGCATGTGGCTTTTCTGCCCCCTTTGGTTCAGCACAGCTGCTTCAGTGGGTTGTCTGAATCACAGCACTGCATCCATGAGGCTATCCTGAACAGCTCAGACCATGCCTTGCAGGCTCAGAGGTACCCTCCAGCTTTGAGTGGCCCACTGCAGAAAGTGCCCTGATTAGCATTCTGGCCCTGAGGTCCCCTTGGTTGCCATAGAATTAGTGGGGAAGCGCCTTGCCGCTGCGGATCCCGCAGGCCTCCCCTGCCGGCCGGCTCCCTCGGGGTTCTCCCCTCGGTCGCTTCCCCAGCAACAGCCCGGCGTGCGCACGTCTCTCCATCTGAGGCCTGTCCCCCTTTCTTGCAGAAAGACTTCACCGTGCGGGAGGAGCTACAGCAGAGCGACGCGGAGCGCTGGCTCGGCTTCATCACCTTCCTCTGCGAAGTGTTCAGCACCATGCGAAGCAGCACGGGGGAGCCCTTCCGAGTCCTCGTCTGCCCCATTTATACCTGCCTCAGGGAGGTAAGGCTGGGACCTTCCCCTCTGCCAGCATGCCCGCTTCGGCCCCCTCGTGCAGGAGTTTCCGGAGGCGGCCACGCTCCTCGCCCTTGCCGGTCCTTTGGGCCGTGCACCATCCTCTGTGTGGCCTTCCATAAATGCACAGAGGGCAGCTCCCTTTTCCGTCTCAGGGGCATCTTGGAACGGTCGTCACGAGACACCCTGGTGGGCCAGTGGAGTGGCCTGGGCATTCTGACACAGACCTTCAGTGGCCCAGAGGGAACAGGTTGCTGGACAGGGAGGCCAGGCCCCGACAGCACTGCCGGACCCGCTTAAGAGTTGCGCTGGCGCAGCTCTGTTAGGCCTGGCGCAGCTTCTGCCATCACAGCCCCCTGGCCTGTGCGGGAAATCCAGAGGCAGAAGCGCGGCAGCGAAAGGGCTGAGCCAAGGTATGGCTCTGAGTGAAGCAGCAGCCGCTCTGGCTGCAGGCAGCAGCAAAAGCTGTTTCCCGGTGTTGGGTCACGTCTCGTGTTGCAGCGAGAAAAGGAATCAAGGCAGAGCGATGCAGCACGGCTGTCAGATAGCACGGACCGTGCTTGTGCCTCTTTGATCTCCATGCGCTTGTGCTATTGAGATGTGGCTTGTGTAAGCCCATGCTTGTGCAACGGCAGTGGCTCTTGCTCTCAGGCCAGGCTTCCAGAGGGTCATGTCTGGAGTCACTGTTGATGCTGCACATACATTGGCTGATTCTAGCCCAGCGCGGAGAGCAAGATGCACAGGCTCATGAATCCTGACCAAACCCTCCCTCCCCGCTGCCACCTGGGAGTTTGCAAGCACCTGCAGGGAACTTGCTCAGGGCAGCAAAGGGATGTCTCGCCCAGCACCTAGACTAGCTCCCCAGAGTGTCCTCCCGGATACCTCCATGGGGGGCCTCCATCTGGGTCCGGTGGCAATGCCACCCCCATTGCTGTGACCGCCAAGAAGCTAATGCGCAGAGACGCCGCACCTTCACACCTCCGCTCCTTGTAGCTCATCATGACTGGGGCCCTTAGACAGATCTCTTCTCCTTTGATTGATTTATTCGTTGCATTCATTTAATGCGTTGATATCCCATTTTTCAGCCAAACAAAAGCCCTCTAAGCCAGAGGTTAGCAGCCTTCTGCACATAAGGACTTTTGGGGAAATACCCTGGGCACATGAAACGGTTGTGTTGAAACACAAAGGGAAAGTAAAATGCTCGGAGGGAAACCATGGGAAATTAAGCCCCGCCTGGAGGCTCCCACTTGGCTTTCTCGCAATCCCAGCTGTGGGTAGCGGGAAATGAAAATAAAAACTGCGAAAGGAGTTTGTCTCCGTGAGCACCAAGGAAGGTGCCCTGGACAAGGTTGCTTTTCCCTATGTGCACCACATCGCCTGTCTCTTCTCTAAGCTGAACATCACCACATCTGCTGGCAAAACATTCTCTAAGCTGATTATTCCCTTCCTTCTGTCTGTTCTGAACCTCCAGACAATTCTTTGGGCAGCCCCATGGAATTGTAGCATCGTGGCACTTTAGAGGGCAAAATAAACAGGTAAGACTGTGACGAAAGGGCAAAAGCTGCTCCTCCGCCCCACCCACACACATGCCCAACTGGCCACAAGGGACGTGGGGCAGAGTTAGACCTTCCCCGGGGTTCCTCCCGGTCCTTCTCGGCCGACCGCCATCACCTGCCCACCCACCACATCACCAAAAGAACGGCCTTGACATGGCACAGCATCACTGCGGAGGAAGGGCAGCTCCAGGGTGGGCTTGTGAGGGTCCCCATCCCTGTAAGAGCAAAAGAAGCCAAGTGCTTGTGCTGGCAGCCCTGAGCCCCCCCCCCCCCCCCGCCCCGCCGCCCCCGCAATCCACTGGATGTTCTTGGTGCAAACCATCTGGCGCTGCCTGACCTCAAATGCCATTCCTTGCCTGGTCTAAAATATATAAGTGATGCTTCTTTGCCTGTTCGATTTATATCTGTGTTCTGCCTGAAGTGACACTCAAGATGGCTAACACTAAATGTGGATTAAAACAAAATCGTAGGTTAAAAAAATACAGCTTTGTTATCACTGCATTGCATTTATCACCTGCCTTTTTTATTCTTGCAAGGAACCCAAGCAGGCCACGTAGTTCTGCTTTATACTTACAACAACAACCCTGTGAGGTAGGCTCAGCTGAGAGTCTGTGACTGGCCCAAAGTCACCCAGGGAGCTTTGTGGCTGAGAACTAGGACCCAGTCCAAGGCTCTAGCCACCATAAAACACTGGTTCTCAATCAATCAATCAATCAATCAATGAGAAAGAAAAACAAAGCAATTAGAAACACAACGGACTTTGCCCAACCTTTTAAAATGCTTGTTCTTATGTGGGTTAAAGTACTAAAGTACAGAGAGAAAGTTGTGTTGGAAACAATTACCACCAGCAGCAGTGTCCTTCCCTCCACAGTGGGCTGGATCCAGATTTAAGCTGGGTCGAAGGCACGGGTGGAAGTAGGGAATCACTTGCCAGCCCCTCTAGACCCTGCAGGATGGACCCTGCCATGCTGTGGGGAAAGCAGAACGTTTAAAAATGCTTTGCTTAAGGTGCAGCCCTCCAACGCCTTCCATTCCTTAGCTGGGCAATATAAATGCATTTGGTAAAATAGGAAATGAAATAAGCAAGGGAGATCCCCAAAGACCGGTCAGAGGGACCTCTCATGGAAGCTGCAGCTGGTGGGTGATGCAGAACAAAAATAAATTAAAATTGAGGAGGAGGAGGAGGCTGGCAACACCGACGCACGTTCCCTTCCTCCTGCAGAAGGCAGATCCAGGATGCAACCCACAAAGCGGCTGAGCCTGCGTGGGGGGGCTCCTTAGGGAGCGGCAATTGTTCTGTATGCCTGGGAAGTGCATCTTGCACATGCAAGGTGGAGCTGCCCCATTCATCATCATCATTATTATTATCAGAACATTTCTATGCCACCCCTTGCCGAAGCCTCGGGGCGGCTTACAACACAACACAATACAATACAATACAAACATTCATGCCCCTTTTTGTGGCAGGCATTTGGACAGCACAGCTGCCTGCTCCACCCACTACCTGTGAGGGCCTCTTCACGGCATTTGCATGAGGCATTCAAAAAAACCCTCCGCTCTGTGTTTGCACAATCCCTCTACTTCGGGGTTCAGTGTTATTAAAAGCAGATCTTTTACTGTGACAGAGCAGCAGGAAGTATTTCCCTGAGTCATTCCAGTCTCTCATCTGTGTTGTGTTTAACTTTTTTCCGTTCATGTTTGCTTCCACTCTTGGAAAGCCGCAGGAGTGGGCTGCATCCCAGCACAGAACGCTCTAGCAACGCTGCTGTGCTTCAGACAAGAGGAAACTGCCTTGCAGGACTTCATTCCAAAGAACACGACAGCCCAAATAAATGTGCTTGTTTATGTGCAGCAAATATTTAGATTTAATCAGTATATTTAGATAATAAGTAATATGCATTCCTTTCAAGTATTGCAATATATTCTGCCTTTCTGGGGATTGGCAATGATACAGAAGCAATACAGTTGGAATATTGTGAAGACCCACTGAACAAATCAGGTAGGGTGAGAAATGGAGCTACTTTTTGGCCTTCCGCAAAGCCCTGCAAACTGGCAAGGTTGAAGGCTACGCCACCTCAGATCCCTGATCCTTCTAGGAATCCGTGAACAAGAGTGCACCTCGGTTCTTCAAACATTGGCTCCATGTTCTTATCCTCTTGCTTACCATGATCACTTGAGATCTCCCTTCAGTTTGCACACACAGCAAAACAGCACCAATCAAATGTCACCAAAGGGGAACATTTTGTCAAACCATAGTGCTTTTCCAGAAGTTGTGCAATTTCCCCCACGGACAAAAGCATGAAATCATGCAATTTCAAAATTGCACAATTGTGAACTGTTTTTTCAATTAAATTTGAAAAATGTAAATTTCAATTAAATTTCCACATTTTTTCAAATGCTGAACAATGTGAAAATGTGTTTGGAGAACACGCTCTCCTGCTGGTGTCCACACTGGGCTTGTTTTGTGAGCACAGGGAAAAATCTGGGACATTTTCTCAGTTTGTGTAGCCTGCTCTTCGCACTGACTAGCAGCCTGGCCTACACAGGTCACCCAGCCTGATTTCCATCTGCTTTCTGTGGGGATGCTGCTCCTTAAACCCATAACCATTCAGAAACTTCAGCTGGTCGAGAACATTGTGGCCAGGGCTGGTCACAGGCAAGGATGTGGACGTCAGGCCAGGATTGGGTTCTCTTGCCCTCTCTGGGCTTCCTTCCCACACTTGGGCCTGGCCAGAAAGCGAGCCAAGCTGAGGTCTAGACTACAAATGCTCAAGGATGCTCTCAGCTTCTTTGCACAAAGGGCGCAAGGCATGTGATTCTTGACACAAAGTGTGCGAAGCCTGCAAGTCACATGTGTGGACGTAGAATGCCACTTGCACAGTGGGCGTGCGGAGGGTGTGTGCACGAGCCAGCCCTGCAGACGTGTTTGGACACGCTTCCTCCTGGACATCCATGCAGAGGCTCACTGTGAGATGGACTCAGGGCAGAGAGAAAATGGGCCAGATTCCATGGAGCCTAACCAAGAAAATCCGATGCATTCCCGCCGCCAGACACATCTCTAGTCATCGAAAGCATGCAGGTTCTTCGTGGCACCAGCTTGACTAGCTCCCTCCAAAACCCTCTTTTCTTATAGAAGAAGATCCTCGGGTCTTCTGGAGAACTCCTCCTTTGGGGACCACCAACAGCAGAGGCACATTTGGTGACCACCCGGAAGATGTGGCTTCTCCACGGGAGACTTGGGTTGCTCCCACTCGGGGGTTGTCCTCCTGCCAGCAAGCAACACTGTTTTATTCAAGGAGGCCTTTGGCCTGTAAATGAGTCTCTTGGTTTGGATACTATTTTTAATTATATCTTCTGCATGTTATGGTTTTACTGTATTTAAAATATTGTTTATTGTTTTAGTCAATTGCCATTGTTTCTGCAAGCCAACTTGAGTGCCATTTTTGGTAGGAAGGTGGAGTGCAAATAAAATAAATACACAAATGCCAGTGCCACCATTTACACACACTAAATTCCTCCAGCTCTGGAAGGGAGAGCCATCTTAGCCAGCCAGGGAATTGACTTCCCCGTCTCTTTTCCAAGTCCAGTTAAAACATGGGGGAAGCAATTAAGAATCCAGCACGAGGCTAGATGTCATCTCCTTAGGTCAGTCTTTGTTCTTTGCACGGCGTTGTTTTCATCACTTCCCTTTCCTCGTCCTTGCCCGGTTGTGATCTCCCAAAAAACCTTTCATGTGGATGTAAACAGGGTTGCCCCACTGGCATCCACCCATGCGCACAGATGCCCTGTTTGCCGTAGCCCCCATGCAGAGGGGGCTGCGCATAAGGGAGAACCCTCAGGCTGATGGGTGGGGGTCTTTTCAGAGGGTCTGCTGCTCCCTCTTTTGGGTATGCCTTCTGCATTTGTGTGTGCGTGTCCTCTCCTCGTGTTTTATATTTCCCTGGGCTCTGGAGGTGAAGTCACATCCTTGTCTCGCTTGATTAGGATGGCTTCAGACAGCCAGGAAGTCTAGTCTGCCGGCTGGGTGGTTCTCCCACATACACGCAGCATGCCAGCTCTCTGGACAATGATGTTCTGCTTCCAAGAGCAAAGTCTGCTGCGAGACTGATAAAGAACATTCCACTGAGAGACCCCCACTGCAGCTTCCTGCCTTCCCCATTCAGGGGCAGGACGGGCAGGCGAGACGGGGTGGGTGTCCCAGCTTGTCTGCAGGCTTCCCAAAGGCGTTGCTGCATCGGTCACTGGGAGACACTCTGCTGGACTGAAGGGGTCTCCCACTGGGCCAGCAAAGGAGCAAACAGCCTCCCAAGAATTGAGACCAGCAGCGTGTGGTTCGATGTATATGCCCTATTTCCTGGCCGCCTATGATGAATAACAGTCAGCCCTAGGCAAGTGGGTAAAGGGGAAGTTGGCTCCTCTTTCCTCTGAAGCTGCTTAGCATTTATATAGAGCTACTGTAGCATGATGGAGTTCAAGAGACCCGGGTTCCAGTCCCTACTCAGCCACTGGGTGGCCTTGGGGACTAGAACCTTGTAAGCTGCCCACAGCCTCTGTTGTTCCACTTCAGACTGCACGCAAGCAGACCTCTGGAAGCGCAGCGCCATCCCATAGCCAGAAGGCCAGCTTCTTTCCCTTGCCCCACGGGGGGGGGGGGGGTGTATGGAGGGGGTGTGCCATAGGTGGAGAGTGCCCTGCACTCCTTCACGAGCACCGGTGATCTCTGCCTTCCAATCTCCTTGGCTGAAACGGGCAAGGGAGAAATGAAGGGAATAACCCTGCTGTTCGGAAAGCGGAGGACTGAAGACGTGTGGAAATCCGCTTCCAGGAAGACCTTGCCAGCCCAGAGCGAGATGCACTGGCCATAAATTGCAGCGGGAGGATGCTGAGCACAGGCCATCTACCCCCTGCGACGGCATCGCTCTTCCACTGCGCTTTTTTAAAGCAATGATTTCAGATCTCGGGTGAAGCGAAAAATGCAACTGGTAGAGGACTAGCTGTGAGGGAGCTCTTTTGCTCAAAAGAAGCCCTGCGAACGCTGCAGGAGCATTCTAGGTCTGTGGGAGTTTTTCCCATGCTGCCGAGATGCCAAGCCCGAGTTGATAGCCTGAACTGCCGAAGGCCAGGGAGGCTTCCCGTGGCAGTGGCGATCTTTTTACAAGTTGCTTCTGAGCTGGTAGGTGGCTGCCCTCTGCCTCCGTGCCAGAAGAGCTCTTATTTAGACACTGGAAAAGAGGGCATCCGCTTTCAGACATGACTGGTCCACAAGCCAGGCTGTCAATGAAGGTTACCTTGGCAGGTGATCTTTCTCATCATTTGTCCTGTCACAGCTCAGCATGGTGGTGAGATTGCCAGGCTGGGGAGCCAGGAGATGCGGGTCCTAGTCCCCTTTTGGCCCTGAAGCCCACTGGGTGGCTTTGGAGCAGTCACTTGCTCTAACCCAAGCCAGGGCTGATGTTGTGCAGATAAAAATGGACTGGCGGAAGACTAGGTAAACCTTCTTGGGTTTCTTGCAAGAGGAAACAATATAAACTGTCGCATGGTGCACATACCCAGCCGGGTTTCATTACGGTTGCGCAGGGGCACCCCGGCAGGGGCCTGGTGCATGACTTTCTGAGCATCCAGCCTCACGCCTCCCCAGTATCTTTTGCCGCAGTTTTGCCAGCCGCCATGGAAATCACTGCTATCGCTGCCGGTGCGCTTTCTGTCTGTGAAATAAACCAATCTCCCCTCGTTCACCTCCAGTTGCTTTTTCCTGGTGGGTGCCCAGGCCTGGAGCAGAGTCTGATGAAAAAGATTTCTAGCTGCCTCGGAACGAGAAAGGATTTCCTAAGCCGATTCCTAAGGAGTTCTCTCTCCATTTTTGTCTTGTGTGTCTGCAGTTGCTGCAATCTCAGGACCTAAGGGAAGACGCTGTCCTTTGCTGCTCGATGGAGGTAAGAATCCCGAGCGATTCTGCCCCCGCTGGCCCCCCTGCAGTCTCTTGGCCAGCCCGGGGTTCTGCTGTTATTTTTAAAGCCACGGGATCCTGAAAGGGAGGCTCTAGAGAGCTTTCATCTGTGCCACGAAGCTGGAAGCCCACATTCAGAATCCACAAAGCTGTGTTTATTCCTAATGGGTTCCCACTGCAGGCTTACCAGGGGCAGGTCCTTGGCTCTCATAACTTGGGAATGGCAACAGGAAGAGGATCTGGGCAATCCATTGTCCTGGCCCCATCTCAGAGACCTCACAAAGGCCTCCATTCCCAGACCTGATTCTCAGAGAAACACTTCCTGCCACAAACACTTGTACAAGCACTCTATAGATGCCTTCCTCAAGCAGGTGCCCTTTGGGTGTGTTGGGTTACAACTCCCATCATCCCTCAAGCTGGGAGGCTAGAACTTGTAGTCCAACACATCTGGGAGGCACCAGTTTGTGGGAGACAGGTTTACGGCCTGGACCCATATGGAAGTCTGCCTCTTGGGGTGCAGAGGTACCATACGAACATTTGTGCTTGGTCCCCCTTCCGGCAAAACATTGTCCACAGTCGTTCTAAACAACTGCAAGAGGCACTCTGTTGGGTTTGCTGGGCGCAGCCTGCAAGTCCTGCTGCACCCCGGGGCATCGGCTGGCCTTGAAGTCATCACACATTTCCTGGGCTTTGCTCCCACATCTGAGCCACTGCCTTTCCAGAGCCCCGCTCTTTGGGAGGGACAGATATTCCCCTTCAGGCCATCTCCAGTGGCTTTCCAGGATGAGGCAAAGACCCTCTGCCCTGGACCTTTAACATATTCCTTTGCTTTCATGGATCTGTTTATGCAGATGACACTTTATAGAGTCGCTGCTTCTTATTTAACGTGCTCGTTATTTCAAGGCGCTTTAGACCTTTCACTGTAAACTGCACTCGATAATGCACTGGAAGGGTGGGTGATGCATGCAGACCATAACAGAAAATGCAGAATCGTCCAGAGACTCCAGCAGTTCATCCTTTGCATCATTCCTCCGGCTGTGGGCAGCGGGAGGAAGATGGGACCGGCACCGGGAGGGCTTGCCGCTCTTTCCACCCAGCTTTTGACCCCTCTGTCACTTTCCGGACAGCTGCAAAGCACCGGCCGACTGCTGGAGGAACAGCTGCCTGAGCTGATGACGGAGCTGCTGGCCATCACGCGCGACAAGATGCTGTGCCCCTCGGAGTCCATGCTGACCCGGTCCCTCCTCCTCGAAGTCATTGAGCTGCACGCCAACAATTGGAACCCGCTGACGCCCACCATTACGCAGTACTACAACAAGACAATCCAGAAACTGACCGCCTGAGAGGAGGGCAGGAGGCAGGAGGCTGGGAAGAAGACACGCACTTTACAAACACAAAACACAGAGCAGAAAGGATTCGGGAAGGAACTGAGCTGCGGCGACCAGAGAAGGGACCGAGAGACCTTTTGTGGTCAGATACCTAAGAAGAGAAACCCCAGCATGCTTAAGAAAACGTTCGTTCGTGGGGGCAAAGCATGTTTCTTTTCAGCTGTGTCCTCAGGCGCCCCCGCCGCCCTTCTCCCCCGCTTTGTTTTGCTTTAGGTCCCCCTTTGATTAAATCCATTGCTCATGCGGCTCAGCATCCCGCCAGGTCATTGTCTGGGTTCAGAAAGAACACGGCCAGCTTGAATAGCGCGTCAGAGGGCGAGCACGGACGGCTTTCACGGCATCCTCAGGGCTTGCACCAGCCAACTGGCAGAAGGCAGCGCTCAGCAGATGTCCTTGAGGGGGACAAAAGCAGACACGTTCCACACCAGACGCTGGTAATTGACAGCTCTTGTCAAGCAGAGAGACCCCCTCCCCTCATTTCTTCCACTCCTCTTGTCTTCGAGGTTTTGTCTCCTGTCGTCTCCTCCCCTTCCACTGCTTTGTACCCTGAAGCCCCATTCCAGATTAGACATTCGGGGGATGAATTTCTCTCTCTTTTCTTTAAAAGAAATTGCACTGGGAATTGGTTTTCTTTGTTGGTTTATTATTTTATATACATATGCATACCTATATCTTATATACTCTTGAATGGAGAAATTACTGTCAAGCTTTTAAAAGCAAACATATGTTATGATGTGAGCTTCCAGTTGCTGGAGGATCCTGACACAAGGAAGCAAAAATGAAAAGAAAAGAAACTTTACAAGTATTACAGTCACAAAATATCTTGCCAAGGGGTTATAATTTATACAGCCCAATCCTATACAGAGTTCGGTGGCACTTCCAAGTAAAAACGCAGCTCCACACATCTTTATTTTCTTAGGAAACGCCAGCGTTACATCAGTCTCCTGCAGCAAACCTGTAATGTACGAACTCTGTACGAGTGTACGCTTCCTTAAACACCCACCGACATCTCTCTTGGGACTCCCAGCGCTGTCTGTTTTTTCCAGAGGCATATACAGGTGTGCTTAAAGAAGCGTACACAGGTGCATGTGTGCACCTGTTACGTATTTGTTGCATTTGTGTTTCTCACAACAGCTATGTGTGCGTATGCCTTAACTGCGCATGGAGCGTAGCTTCAGTGGAGCTGGCAATTGTGTGCCAACAACTGCGAGGGATAGTTAAGTCCAAGGCTCACCTGTGGATGTGGAAGTGGCCCGTGCCCACTGAACAGAGAGCAGCTCAGCCATTCGGAAGTTAACCCTTTCATTGCTTTGTATAAATAGTCTACAATTAAATTAATAGCTGTAAAGGTGCAGTTAAGTTAGGGCCACTACGGTTGAGCCTGCAAATAATAAAGGGTGTGGGCTGAGATGGGGAATTAAGACTTGAAGTTTTTCTTTAGATGCCAGTAAATAGAAGGTGAAATGTGAGTATATGATATTTGAAGTTTGGAACAGGGATAAGATGTGATGAAGGAAGGAAGGAAGGAAGGACGGAAGGACGGAAGGACGGAAGGACGGAAGGAAGGAAGGAAGGAAGGAAGGAAGGAAGGAAGGAAGGAAGGAAATACACATTTAAAGAAGGCAGACTCCTGGCCAGCAAGATATATTTAATCTTATTTTTATTTTCCAGCATTTCATAGTGTGGTGTTGCAAAACCTTCTAATTTAAAGTGAAACGTACCCCGGTCTTTCCCTCACTTGAGAACAGCCTTCCCCAGCCTCACACTTAGACAGCCATTGTCCTCACCCCCAGCCAGATGTGCTGAGCTAACAGGTTGTAGCGGATCGTATCTGGAAGGTACCAGGTTGTGGGAGGCAACTTTATTATTATTTTTTATTATTATTATTAGAACATTTCTATGCTTGTAGTTCGCTGAACCCTTCAGCTACTCAGAAAGGTCATTATTCCGTATGAAACAAAGCATCAAGTCAGAAGGCAGTGCAGTGTCAATGGCAGGAGGGGAAAATGCCCCGGGAAGGTTCCTACGAAGCCCCTCCGCCTGCACTGGGGATCTTTCCTGGTAGCTGGCATTGCAAGCAGGAGTGACCCGGATAGTTGCCAAGCAGCATAAGAACCCCCCAAGAACAGCCGCGCTGGATCCAGCCAGGGGTCCATCTCGCCCAGCGTTCGGTTTCCACAGTGGCCAGCCAGTGGCCTATGGGACGCCCACCAGCAGAAGGCAGGTACCAGAGCGTCCTTGCCCCCGTGTTCCCCAGCGACTGGTGTACACTGGCACGCTGCCTCTGACACTTGGAGGCAACATGGCGCCCGCCAGACGGCTAGCCGTTCATGGCCTTGACCTTCATGAAGGTGACCAGTCCCCGTTTCGAGCCATCCAGGTTGGTCGTAGCAAAGCCCATCGGCCGGTGTGCTGTCCACGCGAGTGCTGGCAGGGCATGATGGTTCTTGTCCTCAGTTACTTTTAGCCACCCCGACATTATTGGCAGTAGTCCACTGATAATCCTGGTTATGTCACCCAGGGGCTCCATAATGAAGGAAAGCTGGGATATAAACATTTTAAATAAATACCATAAACAACACTCCCTGCATAGCAACATTCAGTGTTGGGGTTTGGGCTGAACACCCTCCTTCACAGCTGATACTGTGCTGATTCAAGCACTGGCGCCTCCAGGGGACCCTTGCCTAGTCTGGACTGGTTGGACAAGTTCGCTGGGCTGCCATCCCTGGCTTCAGAACCATCTGGCTCAGGGATCGTTGGACACCATGGTGAGAACTCCATGCTACGGGGAGAAAACCCTTTTGGAACAACTTGGCTCAGAAATAGTAACTAGGATCTCTCCAAGTGCAGGTTTTAGTAAATCCGATTTTACCTGCCCTGGGATTTGTCTACACCAAAGGAGGGTGGTGCTGTGAGGAAGTCTCCAACTTTTGGTCCTCTGAACGTTTTGCCCTGAGACTTGCCTCAGCATAGCCCGTGACAAGGAATCAAGGGGACAGGTTTGCTGTGGGACCCATCCCTGACTCTTTACCAAAAGCACCGTGTCACTTCCAGAAGGCTCACGTCCAGGATTCAGACCAAAGGACTGAGTATGTGAGAAGTGACCTGAAGGGAAGCACTACGGAATGCTGTCCCGAAACACAGAAGTCCCTTGTAGTCTCCTCCATGAATTGGTCCAGTCCCCCTTTTAAGTCTTCTAAGGTCACTGCATTTTCTGGCAATGAGTGCATTGCATTCATCATTTTATTTATTTTATTTATTTTTCGATTTATATCCTGCCTTTTTCCTACAAAGGGCTCAAGGCAGCTTACATCATCTCTCCTCCTCCATCTTATCCCCACAACAACAACCCTGTGAGGTAGGTTGGGCTGAGAGTCTGTGACTGACCCAAAGTCACCCAGTTGGTCTTTCCAGTATCAAAAGATACTGTGCAGCCACGCCATCTTTTCCTCCTCAATGGACTTAGAAACAAGATGGAAGAATTGGTGGGTAAATATGGCAAGTTCCCAAGTGGAGGTTTCCACAGCAGGACTCCCCATTAAATCCCACGAAGGGTGGCAGGCCTCCATCCCCAGAGCCCCCATTAAATCCTCCGAAAGAGGTGAGATGATTGCATGACAAACATCTCTTCCGAAAGCTCTCAGAGTTGCTTCCCAACCTTCCTTTTGTCCCCGGTCCCAAACTAACAGCCAGTCCGTTTTCTTGCATGATTCCCAGCCTGGATGAACTTCTGTGACTCTCAAAGAGGAGCGCTCTTCCTAAAGTGCGGAATGGGTCCCCCATCTTTCCCTGTTACCAAAGAGTCGTGCACTCGTTTGGGACAAGACAAACAGGAAAATAGCTTCTCCTGCAGAAATGGGAGGGCAAGCAAGTATCTTTATTGTGGGAGAAACCTCCCTTCTGTTATTGCCAAGTCCCTTCTGGAAACAAAGGAGTAAAACAATTCCCTTGCTTAGCAGTAAAGGTGAAAAGCAGAGATGAACAAATGAATGCATCCACCAACTGCTTTTGTCAGGTATCAAATTATCTCCTGCATTTCATTCAGTGCTTTCAATTTGACCAGTGAATAGTATGAAAAGAGGGAGGGGGCAGAAGAGGGGGACCACCCTACGACAGACCTGTGTGTTATTGCCTTTTGAAAGCCCTAAATTTTCACTTAATCATTTGCAATTTTCTTAGAGCACAAAGAGGCAGAGCCAGCCCACATGACAGTAATTCTGTTAAAGTGCTTTGCTGCCGCCAGCCATGAAAACTTTGGCCAGAGATGGCCTTTAATAGAGATTGCTTTTGAGTAGCAGCCGTGGACCCAGATACAGAAGCTTAATGGATTTGGTCCCATTATTTTGTTCGGCAGAGCTGGGATTCCTCCTGGCCGCCTTTGCACAACAACAGCTGTGATCCTCCGGTGTTAGCAATGTCCGCTGCCCTTTCAGGACTGTAATTTATATGCAGCATCCTTTAATTTCATTTCTTTCAACCATCGACTTGATTATATAATGTGATATTCTGATTGTTCCACTCGTCTGTGGAAATCTAAATGCTGGTGAAATTATAAACAGCCTCTCTCCAGCCCTTTGGCATTCAACAGATCCTACGCAGAATAACATTTCTTTTAGAAATCGGGGCCTGGCTCCGCTCACGTGGCCTGAGTGTGTTACCCCAAATAGGAATTCACGTGCCCAGTTGTTACTCCATGTACCAGGGCAGGTCATATCTGATGTGGCAGAAGCTGCAGGCAGATCAGCTGGGGAAGGCATTTTTCAGCAGAATGGGGTCGTCTGTCACCAGCCGCAGGAAAGCAAGTCCTTACGTACTTGAGATGCATCCAAGTTCAGCGTGGACCAAATCCAGATGTGCATCAGCTGGAGCTCCAGTGGTGGGACTTGGTGCCTTCCATGGGATCCATGTTGGATCCAGTTCTCCCCATGAGCATGTCAGGGCTCTCTTGAATTTGTGGGGCAGGACAAATGAGGCTATCAGAAGAGGGAAAGGGTCACCCAATTTTGAGGGAATACCGGTCCAGTTTTGGATCATTCACTCCCTGTGCCCCTTCTCAGATTGCTCAGGAGCGCCCGTTCGTCCCCAAAGAGTCTTTTTTACTAGGTTCCTAGCTAATGCCTTTTCTCACAACATAGTGATACTGGTCAGAGGTAACAGGTGAATAGATTTTGCAACCTGGAAGGCAGGGCCCAGGTGACATTTTGCATCAGTGCAATGAAAAGTTGTTTCCTTAAGCCTTAAGGAGAATATGCAGGCTTTGGATAGTTTAATGGTGCAATCCAGTTTAGGAAAATGTCCTACAGGTCACAACTGCTCCTGTAGAACACTTTCTGTCCAAACATGGATGGAATTACCACTTAAAGGAATTTTATGCTTTCTTCACAAGCTGTTTTTCTCTTCCAACACCCTTCCAGGTGTTTTACCTCCTGCAAGAGAGTGTTACGGTCTTTTTCATGGAATGTCTAGTTTGGCCCTAGATCTGTGACAGAGCAGGAATAGTGTCAAAGAACTGCAGCAGCTGTCCTGATGCATTCTTAATGTCCCTGAAGCTGTAATGAAGTTGGAAATGCCTTTCCAAAGCTCCATAGCTAGACAGATAGAGGGGTTAGGAACTTCGTGCAGACGGACTAAAAACAGTGCCCCCGATTGCCACGTAAAAAGCCAATTGAAAGCATTCTTTCGAGCATCTGGTCTCTCGGATGCTGGCGGGTGCAGACAGATGCAGAGAAATCAAGTAACTGATTTCTCAAGGGGTCCCAAGACTCTGCAGGCACATATTGAGAAAGTAGCTAGTGCGTAACCCAGGCTGGATGCGCCCGGCCAGGTAAATGCAACCTCGTTCGTGGACATATTAGAATATTTGTGTGAGTCAGTGAGGAGCTTGTTATCCTTAGAGGTTAAGTTTTGATTATTAAGATGAATTTGGATAAAGGGACAGATTGGTTTGCATGTGTTCCTATTGATCTTTTGGGGACCCAGGAAATGAACCACACTCCCCGGAAGTCCCTTCTGGCTGCATTTTTAATTCAAGAACATTCTCTCTTCCTGGTCTTCTTCTCTGCAGGTTTTGAGTACTTTATTAGGGCCTGAGTCCCCATCGTTGCGATGAGGGATGGCAGCTGTGGAGGGAGGGCCCGAGCATTGTGGTGACTGGGGTTGGTTGTGGGGAACAATAGCTGTGTGTACAAAGGCACGGTGTGCTTTGCCATGGAGTCCCTGCTACTGCAGACCAAGATGCCTCCCCTCGTTGGCCAGGAATGGTAGGAGCTGGAATGAATGGCAACCACTGACATGCGGCAGTCAGTGGAAGGTGCCTTCGAGAATATGGGGGACGACTAAACTGTGCTTGCCCTCGCTGGCTGCAGCCACGGAGACTCAAACTAGCCCTGTTTCCGTAGCCCTGTCCTCAGCCCTGTTTCTTGCTCACACGGAAGTATTAGCAAATATGGGGAACTGGCTTTGATTAAAGATCCTGTTGAAGCACCACGAGGAAGGAGAAAAGTGGTTGGCCTTCATGTTTCCATTGCAGGAAAGAATGGGTGGTGAACCCGATTGCAATGTTGCGGGGAATTTCAGTAAACGTTTTCAGTGTTGGCCAGCCTTCTGTCTGTCTGTCTTTCTTTCAAGGAAGGTCTTAGGCTTCCTTAACAGCCCTCTCTTGGAAATCCCACATGGGGCATTCTGAAAGTACTTGTCTTTTTATTCTGAATGCTAATCTGGAATGACGTCCATCCCTCATTCGGTTCTTATGATTATTGTGATATTTCTAAAGAATCAACGTGCTCTGTGTTTGTCGCATACACTTCCAGGAACAGGTAAAGTACACAACTAAACCTTAGAATGCCTCTAGCCATTCTTTTGTTTGACAAATGCATTTGTTTGAGTAGGGAAAAGAGGTAAAAGATTTTATGCAAGCTTTCTCACAACCCTGGGCCATTCATGTTGATAAAAGGCACTGGATCGGTTCATCTGGTCTAATGCGTGTCCAGATTTTAGTATTCTCTGCAAAGGGAGAGGAGAAATCCACTTTTTTATATCATGCTTTAACCACATGGAATCGCATAGAGCAAGGTTAGGCAACCTCTGAAGTTTGGCTGCCATTCCATTGATGGCCGCTGGCCCATGTAGAGGCTGGAATAACCTCTCAGTGGTGGGCAGGATGTATAATACAGCTGTCCACATCTAGCAGTGAAACTTTCCGTGTGCCTCGGTGGAGCATGGTCGTTGACTAGGGCAAAACGGAGGAGCCAGTGTCCTTCCACAATCGTCCCCTCAAGGCGCAGGAAGGCCGGCCATGGCCCTTGGTCTTTCCAGAATCAGACAGCCATGCAGTAACGCAGTCTTCCTGCAGACGCCTCCTAGATCAGCCTTCCCCAACCTTGTGCCTTCCAGACACATTTGGACTGCAACACCCAAAATTCCCAGTCAGTAGCCATGCTGGATGGGAATCCTGGGAGCTGCAGTCCACATGCCTCGAAAGGCCGCCAGGTTGGGGGAAGGCTGCCCTAGATGTTTTGGATTACAATCTGCCAACATGCCTGGCTGTCTGAGACTGGCAGAAGCTGAAATCTGGAAGGCGCCATGTTCGGGAGGGCTGCAGTAACATTCGTATGGAATAAAGATAAGAGGCCGTCATGAGGCTCAAGTGCCATCGGTCCTAACATATCTGCTCAGAAGTCATCCTGTTAACTTACTCCCAGGTAATTTGGCTAGAGGATTGTAGTCCCAGGTGAGCCCCACTAGGACTAAAGGGCAGAGCAAAGGTGTCCACTACACGTCTTGCTTCAAGTCCAGGAAAGCCAATTCAAGGCTTGAAGGCTACGCCATGGACAGGACACTGGGGTTCTTCAAACATGGCTTAAGTGCTTATGTGAAAAACCTCAAGGGCACCCTTTCTATCACAAAGGGGATACCCCAAATAGGCAGGACTTGGATTGCAACCTCCTTTCTTACTTTCCCTGCAGGTGTGCTCAATTTTATCAATATGTGTATTATTTAATGCTAACCTTTTCTTAATCTAGCTAATCATAATACTTCAGTCACCAGGATGTATCCAAATGGTAATGTTTAAAGTGCAATCCCATGCATGCTTAGGCAAGGGGGAGAAATCCTACAATTTCACTGGCTGGTGCATATTGGGAGTTGTGGGCACATTTTCCTGTCCAAACATGCATGGGATTGCACTCTTAAACTATCGAAATCTTGTGTCAAAAATGACAATGAAGCCGTGATTTCCTTTAGAACACAGACTTGTGCTAACAGTGATTTTTTTAATTGCAAAAACGTATTTATTTTGTTTGAAAACCAACATTTAATTTAAACATTTATCATATTTGTTGTTGTTTTTTAAGTGCTTTTGTTTAAAAAAAAGGTTTAAAAGGAAAAAAAAAACATTCTGGAACTGAGGAGACTTAGAAGTTTGTTATAAGTGGAAGGCACATGCGGAGAACATTCTCCCATCATTTCCTGCCTTGAATAGACTGTTAAGGAAAAGGAGAGGAGAATTCTTCGTGGCGATTCACTTTTGTTTATGGAACATCCCGAACCGCTCTATGCTATAAAATACATCATCTGATGAGAAATAAAAGTTTCAAGCTCAATGGTATCACTTCTGGTGGTCTACTTATTGTGTTTGTCTTGGAATGGAGCATGTAAGAAAAGGAAGATAATACAAAAAAAAAAAAATTGCAGAAGCTGCATGTCCAGATAAAACCATTAAGGAGCGATTAAGCATTTTCCCCTTTAAGAGACGGAAGTACAGACGGTAATCATAGAATCATAGAATAGTAAAGTTGGACGGGGCCGTGAAGGCCATCTAGTCCAACCCCACACTGCTGCAGGAAACAAAGTGGCACCATCTTGTACATTGGTATTTCTGGCCCTGCTTATAGCCTCACCCACAACTGGCATTACTGAAGGCTTGTCAAAACCTTGCCCAGAGAAGCTACTTCATGGCAGCTCCTTTTGGCTCTGCTACACAACGCAGGCTTCAGCCCGTGAGTTGCGTTGCCCTCCGAGGAGGCCACGATGCTACAGCCAGCGTCCAGGTAATAAACCCCACTGATGCTTGCTTCTGAAGAAGGCATGTGGAGCTCAGGAAACGAGCCCAGGAGCCAGGCCCGGTGCTCCTGAGGCCCTCGTCCACCCTCGCAGGCGTGCCGCCTGTCCTTCAGCCACCAGGAATTTGCCAGATTCTGTGCAGCTTTTCTCCATTCCAAAATGTGATGCCTCTCCTTTTGGGGAGATTCATGCGGGCAGCAGGGCTGTGGAGGAGGAGGAGCAGGAGATGTCCTGCCCCCTTTTGCAGTTCTTTGTCCGAGCAGGTATTGACTGAGATGAGGCATTCCCACCCACTTCAGTGAGAATGCCTCTTCTTTTAAGATGGTCACTGCCACCCCTGGATTTTCTAAGTACCTGTATGTAAAACAATTGTAAAAAACGATGGCTAACTGGCAGAACTTTTAAAAAATCAACGAAGCCAATTGAACAAGTAAAGCCTTCGCGTAACCCTCCAAACCCAGAGTATTATGGGCATCCCACTGAATACACGAAGAGTGCAAAGGTAAAGATTCTCCACACTTAGACAGTTGATTTCAGTCCTCCATGTCTTTTGGCCCCATTCGGAGGAGGGGCTGTGGAATGACTGGGATTCCTTCTCTCTCTGGCATGTTGTGAGCGTAGCCAGCTGGAGCAGGGGGTCAGACTAGATGGCCCAGGAGGCCCCTTCTGACTCACTCTGTTTCTGTTTCTCTGAAGATTCTCACTCTTCCCCTGAACACCTGCTCCATGCCGGTTCCAAAGGGTTGGATCTTAACATCCTGCACCTCTGCTTGTTCCATTTAGCATAATTTACCCAGGAAAAATAACCTCTCGCCACAAATACACTGGCCCCAATCCACGATGGTTGCATCTAACTGGGCCTACAGTTCAAGATACGCACAGCTGCAACTCCCGGTTTCAGTTTTCACACTGCGGTGCATCCTGGGAGAAACAATTCGGGGTAGATGATTTCCAACCCTTCGTGGCTAATTGTGTGTGTGTGTGGGGGGGGGGCTTTATTCAGCCTTGTGGGTGTTCCTTTCATTGAGAAGCACACAAGCAGCATTCCTCTCCTTCCCTGAGTCAATCTTTCCATGCCTTGTGATGATTTCTGTTATATTAGAGTGTAAGAGCAAACAACATCCAGGTGCAAAGCTGATAAAAAATTAAATGCTTTGAGTAGGTATCATTTTGTGCATTTACCTCACTTAAATCAGAGCCTCATGAATACATGCATAAAGTGGAGTTTGCAACAGCTGCCCTGATGCAAAGCATGTTTACTAGGGAATGAGGACCATTTGGTTGCGAAATGCTGGTGGGAGGGACTTTTCATTGGTAAGTCAATTTTAAATCAGGTACTTGCTCAGTTGCCCCTGGCTAGCAACTATCATAAATAAGAAATTAAGGATAAAGGAAAGTGCCACATCAGCCCTGGTGGTCCAAGCACATTCTCGTTGGCCCAGACGCTCATGACAGCATAACCAACGAGCTGCGCCCCACAGCCAAGCCGAGCTGCATCACTGCCCAGGAATGGAGAATGCGTCGTGATGCGTGGGACTTTGTTCTGACTGCCACAGAACGACAGTTGCCAGCCAGTTAGGAGGAAAAGGCAAGGCGCTTGGCACGGATCGAGCTATAAAGGTACGGACAGGTGCAAACAGGATGGCTTTGCACCCATTGGAATGGCCTTCGTTGAATACTGGGAAGTAGCACAGCCAGGTTGCACAGCCACCTCTTACGATTGGAGGGACAGACAACCCAGCCAGAGACAGATGCACCATCATCTAGAGAGCACCAGTATGAAGCCTGTTTCCTGGGGAACGTTTAGGTCTGTGATAGGGCAGAGAAATTCCTCATGCCGGCACACCTGCCGGCATCACTGGCTTTTCCGATCCTCCCTGCCTTATTGCTGGCTGCTAGGGGGAAGAAACAAGCCTAGTCCTTGTGATGACTGTGTCATCCCGCCCCGCTCCAAGTTCAGATCCACACCCAGTGGTTTCGGAGGGCCCCAGGTACAGTCCCCTCCAGGGGCGTCTCCCTGGAGGGGGGCCCCCTTGCTTCGCTGCAGTCCCCAGCTGCCTTTCCTGCTGCTGCTCCTTGCTTGACCATGTCAGGGCCCGGACGTGGGTGGCAGGAGTCAAGAGAGGCACCAGGGCCAGGGCAACAGAACCCCAGGCAAGGCAGAGTCCACAGCCCAGTGGTGAAGTCCAGCAGCAGTCCGAGTTGTCGTAGTCGCAGAGCAGGCCAAGGTCAGGAACCAGAAGTATGTATCACGGCAAGACACAGAGGAGGTCATGAACAAGCCAAGGGTCAGGAACCAGGAGGACAAGCAGAGGTGTGGATGCCTTAAGGCAGGATAACCGGACAGGAAAGGCAGCAAGGCAAGCTACACGGCAAGCAAAGGTCAAGCAAGGTGTAGAAGCTGAACCTCAGCTAGCAGGAAAACCTGCATTGCTGAGGCAACAAGGAAGTGCAGGGCAAGGCAGGACGCAGATGCAGTAAGAGACAGGCAAGGTGCAAGAGGTGAACCTCAGCAGTTAGCAGTTAGCAGGAAGCTGTGGAAGTGAAACCACGAGACAGAATCTGGGTTAGGCAAGATGCAGACACTACAGCAAACAGGAAGACTATAGAAAGAGCTCTCCTCTCCTCTCCTCTCCTCTCCTCTCCTCAGAAGCAGAGGGCTCCAGCAGGGCCTGGGAGAATCCTATAAATACTAGAGTGCAGACTAGAAATTCAGGTGAGACTCCTACTTGAGTGTAATTCTTTATTACTGTATTTAAATAATGTGTTTAGGAGAAATACTTTGAGTGCAATGGCAAACATTTGCAAAATCTTTATTTCTCCCTCCAGAGGCCCTGGGCACCCCCATGACCTCCAGGTGCACCATGGGACAAGGCCTATTTGTTAAGGTCTTCCTGCAACAAGCCCTGCTTGGAATACAGGAATATGTGATTAGCGACAGCTAAACTGGTATTTGCTTCTGTGTGTGTTTTAAGCATTTGTCCTGCTCCCATCACCCAGCATTTTCCAGAGTGGTGAGCAGTGTGTATAAATAATATATTAGTTCTATAATAAAATGCTAAAATATTCCATAAACGTTGGTGACATTAATGAAACGTTAACGGTAAAAGGCAGTGGCAACTGCAGAAGGCTCGGGCATGTCCCCAATTAAAATGCTTGGGAAAATAAACATGTCAGAGGGCACGATCCCACGTCCTCTGCCCTTGGCGCACAGAACCCCTTGAATGTGGAGGCTGAGGAGCATCTAGCAATGATACGCTGAGCAGCAGCTCCCACCTCCAGTCCAGCTTTCACCTGGGGGCCTTTTCCAATGTCTGGAGAGCACAGGGTTGTGTCCTTACCCTGGTGCTCAAACAATGGTGAATGCTGGCTCCAGGGGCACCTCTTTGGGGGGCAGCATCCCACAGCCAGGGAGCCACCACCAAAAAGCCCACTCCTGTGGCATAAGCCACTTCCAAGAAGGCTTAGAAAGGGGATGTAGGACGCAGCCTTTCAGTAAGAGTGTGAAGGGGTGGAGAGATCTGCTGAGCTTTTGGAAAGAGAAAGAACTGGCATAGATTTGTGGTGTGCCTTCAGAACAGGGCAGGACATGGCCGACCCTGCTCCAGGTCTCACTCACACCTTCCAAGAGCTCATGGAGGCAGTTTGGGCTTGGCTGGACCTTGAGGCGTGGCGCCCTGACTACTAAATCGAGCGGGAGTCTTGCAGCAGCACCGGCTGTGCAGCCCTGGTATGCCTGGGGGGAGTGTGTAGGAAGATCTGGCACATTTGGGGGTGGGAGTGAGGGAGGAGGCCAAGCAAGGCTGAAAGAAAAGAACGTGCGCTCAGGGGCCTGCTTCGAAGGGGAGCACTATGGAGGCTCAAGGGCAAGCACAGACCCCATGAATGTGATTATATTTTTCTGAGCACGCCACAAAGGCTGCATTTCCTTGCAATTCCATCCAATGCCAGGCGAGATTGTATAAGCTGAAATGCAACCTTGGGCCAGGAGCAATTCTTTGGAATTGTGTTTTCTTTTGCAAGGTCTATTCCTTAATGCACCTGAGGTCTAATTCAGGGATGCTCAAGGATGGGAGATGGGAACATGCCTTGTAGCTGCTGCACGCAAACGACACCGCAGTCTTTCCCAGGTTGTCTTCTCTGCCTGCACACATGACATATGCCTGAATATTATCTTGTGGGGGGAAAGCATTCCTCTTTCGAGAAAATAGCATGGCAGGATATAAGGACAGTCCTCTATTTAGAGAGACTGCTGGAGGACCATCTTCTGTTTTGCAGGTGTTCCCTGTTTGAGGGCCCGTGTAGCCCACGTCCAGTTCCAGGCTCCTCACCCACAGGAGGAGCTGGGTCTTGAAACTGCCCCCCCACCCCAGCAACCCCTGGACAGCAGGCTGATCATGGCACACGGATCACCTCCTCCCAGCCTTCCTCAGCATGGTAAGATGCAGAATATTTCTACTTGAACAGGATTTTTAATATATGTATTTATATCCTGCCATTTTTCATAGAAACATAGAAATTGAACAAGTCAGAAGGGGCCTCCTG